TCTCTTCCTGATGTGGGTGGATTCTTTCTTGGTTAGCGACCCAAACCAGTCTTCTGTTTCCCTCTCACACGGGCTGGGTGGAGAAAGGATACAGCATTATACAAGTCATATTTCACACAAAAAGGTGCACATAGGCAGTATACAGATTTGTGAAAAATAAGATAACAAAAATAAAAATAACAGATAACAAATAACTTCCCATCTACACACATGTTAATTGCTATCAAATGTTGTGAAAAAACAAGATTAAAAGCCATGTATTTTTCAATTAGAATGTGTATAAAAGCTGTGCAATTCTTGTATAAATTGAGATAGCTACTTGTGATTGCAAATTAGTGCACATAGTTTATACGTGACAGCTTTTGCAGGAGTTTAATGATGTGCTACACTGCTTTTACACAGCTTTCAAGCACGATTTACACATGATTTACATAACTTTTGCATATGAAATAAACAAGTTAAAACCGTATGGAAACAGGTGGAAAGCTAAATCGAGATCTGTACTGTACATGGTGTTACAGCATCATTCTGCAGGAAACAGCGCCTCACCTCCATTTCACAATGAGCTGCAGCTTGAGGGTTCCCGGATCGTTGACATTGATAGTTAGAACCTGCGGGACAGGGTTGTAGAAACCTTTGGTCTCACAGGTCATGTTACCGATCACCACCGATCTCCCCAACGTCTTTACTTCAGACACCTACAAGGAGAAACAAGGTATTTTTTTCAAACAATTTCATCAGGTTGGTAGAACATAGGATATTGCCACCTACATCGTGGAACTGGCAAATTCATTTGCAAATCCTTTGAGAAATAATTCTTTGAGAAATACTTCAATGAACACTTACCTTAAAGTTGAGCATGTCTGCTATGAGAGGTTGGAACACCACCTCCTGATTGTCCCAGACCTGCGTCAGGTCCCGTTCTACCCGTCCACGTAACCTCCACTTCTGAGGCCCGTATCGCACCAGTAGGTCGTACACGTCGCCTGGACACAGCCGTGCAAACCCTGCCATACCTGCAGGAAAAAAGGGAAGTGATCTTGATGCAGTTTTAGCTCACTGAACAGCTATTCCTCCACTAGTCTAACAGATGCCATGCACAGTATTTACAGGTTTATTGTACTGGGGAAATTTCCCAGAACACAGAACAATGAACCATGGAACACAGCTTAGTGTCCTGGTACCAAATAAAGGGACTCCTCATGTAGCTTGTTTTGGGGCTATTTTAATTTAAAGGCTTATAGTATGAAATGATGATGAAAATGTGATAAGAAATAGCAGTAAATGTCCATATCAGACATAAAGTTCTTATTTTGCCACACTGAAATTGCATTGGAAGCCTTTAAGACAAAAAATGGAATTCTTTACTAGAATGTATGTCATCTAGAAAACAATACAAACCTTTTATTCTCATCTGGAAACTACCCAACATCTGCTCTAGTTCACCCTCTATTATACACATTGTCTGGAGGAAAAGAGAAAACAAACAATTCATTACAGTATTTTCTCTACTCTACAGTTTCACATTTCCTGCATATCTCAATACTGCTAACATCAAAAGATTAATTAATATTTCAAAAAATCTACATGTATCTGTAAGTTTTTAGTCTTTAGAGAAGCAAGGAAATACAAAACTCGAGTTACAGACTGGTGTAGCTTACAGTTCCATGTGAACAAATCCCCCTGTACAGCTGAACAGATGGGGAGGACAGTTTCTTCACCTACAAGTCTATACTTCTTTGATGTCATAAATTATAGTTAATTTTATCATTGCAAATTCTCAATTCTAATTTGATATATGCAACAGAGGGGCCATAAATCATGATATCAATGTCCCAAATGGCCAGACATTGTTTGCTCATGATGTGGGTAAAATGAAAATTCAAGTTCATTAAACCGCGCCTCCTATGCAAACCAGATGTTGTATTCTCACTACAGTTGTAGCACTTGCATACACCACCTGGGCTGACTAGCTCAGAGTTGAGCAATCTTGTCAAAAGTTCCTCCCTGCTGACTTCTTAATTGCATCACCAATATGCCTTTCTGGCAGTGCACAAAGAGGTCTCACCAAATTTAGTACCGGTACCGCCCTCCCACTCCAGAAGCCTCTAGTTTGGCAATGCTCCCAGAAGTATATCAGATTGTGATGTAGTGGCTTCATAGAGCTTAATGACAGAAATATAGATTTCTTTCAAGTCAATACTTTTAGACCTTTATCAAAGTTTTAATCTCATCCGTTATTAGCAAAGGGGCAGATGGTCTTTTTAAAACTTCACAGTATCATTGTACATTTTGTACATCCACTTACACAGTGTAGGACTCCATCATAGTGGCTTTCAGAATTTTAAGAGACTAATTCTTGGTATAGGCAGCATGAATGGGAACAGCAGGACAATGAAATTGCTGACATTTTGGCACAAACACAACCTGGACATTGAAGTATCTACGTCACCATCAAGAAGGTAAAAAAGGTAAAGGTAAGTCCCATAGCATTTTTGAGGCTGTGAGGCAGTGGGTTGTTAATCCACTATACTATGTCTAGGGCATGGTATTAGAAGAAGGGCCCATGATCCCTCCCCTTCCACTGCCTTTTACCTCCCCAACCAATGTCAGGTACAAATTTAACACATAGGTGTGGTGAGGAAAGTGCCTGTTCCAAGGACACAGGGTCTAGCTGGGAATGCACGGAATCGAACCCGTGACCTCTCAAAAACCTTAGCCATGCACTTGGCCATCCAATGTTACATCAAGAAGTCAGGATTCTGAAGTGTGTTATCTTAATCTTAGTCTAGATGTGTGAGTCCTGTGTACAGACATTCCTATCCCTCCATGTACCTGTGAGCACTCCTTGAAGCCAGACTTGACCTCTGACAGGCTCTCCTGGGAGTGTCTGCTGAAGGACTGCGAGTGTCTGGACCTGTTGTAGGCATTCACCATGTTTCTGGCTCCTGGGTGGGGAGGGGGGCAGAGGTTAGAATGTATCCTTTAAACAGTCAGTGTAGTCATTATAGTGGGAGGGAATCACATGTACACATGAAGTTACAACTTTGAGGGTAACACATAAATGGCATAGTAGTAAATTTAGCAGTACTATGCAGCAGAATTCTTGCATATGTGAGGCAGATGTTTGCTGTCATGTTCAATGTTACAGTAATAGTATTCAATTCCCAAGAATTCTGCCTGTAAAGTAGGTCTGACAACCGCATTTTCTTCTTACAATGGACTAATCTCTCACTTTGTTTGATGACTTCATGCACAAAACATCTATATGAGATCTTCAAAGTTTTGAAACACTAATTTCTGTTTATTTATTTGACTTCACAGATTCAAAGTGAACAATGTTGATGAATTACTTATCACACATGTACTACGTATACCCACCTTCCCTGAGTCTCTGATGGAGATTGTAAGCTTCTGCAAGTTCCTCTACCTGGGGAAAATAAAACAGTGTCAGCTGCCTCTCTAAATTGTTACAGTAGTACATGAAAGATTTATCACAACTATATATCTATGGATTTGAGTGGACTTAAGCCATTTTTTAAATCTGCAGTGTATGATGTATATCTTGTTCTATTTTATTGTTCTATTATCCTCATGACCCCAATGAAAAGTGGCCAGTAGTCCAGTTAGAGTATTTCATGAATAAATGGGATGTACAATGTACTATCAAATTTTGTACGTGCAACGATGGCAGGTCCAGTTATTTAAAAGTCACCTAACAACACTAGCATAAAGAGGGCTACTTGCACATTATTTGGCCAGAACTCACTTTTGCGAACAGACTCTTTTACATGTACTTTATTCATTTATCTTCTACAATAATTAATCTAAATGTGTAATATTGAGGTCAAAACTACTTAACAATACTCCAATATATTGGATATTCTGGGAAAGTACACTGTATATTGATTACATTAAGTATTCTGGGGAAAAATGACCTTACCTTTGTGTGATGATATTCTAGTCTTCTGATATATCTCTCTGTGGCTTTGGTTTGCTTGAAAGTGCAAGGAGAGGTTTTGAAAGTCAGATTTTTCCCTTTGATGTTTTACTACAATATACAAACTCAGAGTGACAGACAGCAACAATGAGTCAGACATAACAGTTAATCAATGCAATTATTGTTAGCATTTGTTGTATTTATTGCATTGTTTGTTAAAACACAAAAACCATGCAGAAAAATTAGACGTCAAAATCAAATGTGAGATACAGAAGCATTGCAAACTAAAGATTCTGATCCATTTACTTCTGATGAATTCTAGCAAAGTGCAATAAGTATCAATCATTGAAATGCTTTAAGGGGGTGAGTAGAACTTTTACATGTATATTGCAACATTTCAGAAATAAGATTAATCAACAGTTTCCACAGCCTCTAGGCAAGTGATTAGGAAAGGCAGCATGTTGGCAGAAGGTACTGTGCCTGCAAGTAGGCAAAATTCTGATGCAATGTCGACCAAATATCCAATGAAAACTGTGAAAAGTCTGTGTTTTATCAAACTAAGAAATCTGGGTCGCACGCAGTTGCAGTACGTTCTGTTGACATGCTGGAAGGAAGAGTCAGGGTTATCAACTCAAAGGTAGGGGAACAAGGAAAGAGCAGGTTTGGCACAAACCTTATCTAAGTCATAGAAGAACCCCTGGTTTCAGCAGCAGAGACAGGAGAGGGGAGATGAAGAGAGATAATCACAGTTCAAATCATGCATAAATCATTGTGCTTGTGACCTAGAGAATAAGCAAGGCTATATAGTAAATACAAATAGAGACAGAGTATTGTTCTACCTTAGTTATATGCATGAAACATTCCTGTAACTACAATGTACATGAACATGATTTATATTATTCCTGTAACCACGTTGTACATTGTACATTTCTCATATATTATATATATAATATCAAATTAAAAAATATACACGTCATGTATAAAAAAAACTGGGTATCATAAATTAAAGTAGCCACAAGTCCATTTTAAGAAAAATTGTATTGTGGCCTTAAACACCATGTAGACTTAATACACATATATGCAAAGCTTTTCCATGCTACAGAGCTTTTGCGCGAGAAACAAACTGAGTTAAACCTCTGTGTAAAATGTGTGGGAAGGGAAGCTGATCAAGGTCTGTACTGTAGATCTAAGCTAATGGGACACGGCCACAAAACACAGGGATCCTTTTTATTCATCAAGCTTTGAGACTCAAGATCAGATTCAACAGTATTCTTCCCACCGCCAACGGCAAAAGGATTTTACGACAAGCCTTTGTGATCCACCCAGGCAATCTCCGACAATCCTCCAACCTGCTCAACTGACGTTATCTAGAGGCAGGCTCACCGGTGTAGGATGGAGGAAATCAATACAGCTTTGACGAACTGGTACATAAGTCATGTCGACAACACCTAAAAATGTCTGCCTATGGCTCCTCTGGGATGAAGCTGGGTAAAGTAGCTGGGATTGGACATTGATTTTTGGGCAGGCCTTGGGAGCGTGGTGAAATGAGCGGGGAATAATGTGAGGATGGATGATCAGGTCCATTACGAGCATTGGTTGCTAATGATGACCAACTGTGGGAAGGATGTAGGATATTGATAAAACATGGGGTGAAATCAGGGCTTGTCATATTTGATGGATGTGCTGTTATGTGTACATGGGAGGTGTGAGTGTGTCACACAAGACATCTGGATAGGGACAGAGAGAGAGAGAGAGAGTCTGTGTGTTTGTGTGTGTACGCATTGTATGACAAATATATAATTAATGATTGTGTATTGTACAAATGTGTGAGTGCTGTTTGTGTGGGTATTGTATCTGTGTATTGAATATGTGTGTATTGCATTTTTGTGTATTGTATATGTGAGTTTGTTGTTTGTATATGTATTGTTTGTGTGTATTGAATATGTGTGAGAGAACTTAGTAAAAGTAAAAATGGTGCTACTACATGTAGGAACATTTTTTGATGAACTGAAAGGCAAAGAAATGGTAGTGCAGGTAAAACCTGTCTGGTGCAGGTAATCTTGAATGTTGCCTGCACCAGTGCAGGATTTCGAGCCCTAAAGACCTGTGTTATGATATTACATCTGTTTAATAATAATTATTTCTGATTATGTCCATCTAGATCTAAGGCAACATTGTAGATTGGCTTGTCACTGAAGCACTTTTCCATCCTTGTTCGACTGATTGTGTGAAGTGATTCAGATGATTACTGACATGGGGAGAGGAGTGCCCTGGGTTATAGGTCAGTGGGTACTGATTGAGGAGCAGTGTTAGATAATGCATAATTCTGTTCATGTACATGTTTTGTCAGATGAAAATGCATGGTGGCATGATGTATGTGTGTGAAACAAAAGTCAACCTCCCTGTACATATACAGTTTGGCACTTTACAACACATATACTCATGCTTTGAATGTTTGAATGCTTTGAATAACAATCCATCTCCTTTCTCATATTAAAAAAAAATGTATGCCAAAACATGTAGATGTAACGTTATCAACATGTCATGTTGTGTCATACGGACTTAACAAGACTTTATGCCTAAAGTCTTTGCCAAAGGTATGTAGCATGTCTTTTGGTGTTAAGACCACAGGAAGAGTAGCTTAGTTTTGTAACCTATAGTAAACTCAATTTATACCAAATGTTCTCTTTTGGTTTTGGCATTTCACATTAAAGTGTGAGTTAAAGGAGAGGAAACTTACAGTGCAGGAGTTGTTCCTTGTCAGTGTGTCGGTGTCCCCCTTGTGAGCCTTCAGGTCAGCAAGTTCTGTCCGCTGGCTTTCTATCAAGTCACTGGAGAGAAGAACAGAAATACCTGTCACGAAAACCCTGTTCAAAATCTGGGAAAAATTCATAGCCAAATAAATAGTAGGGATGTACATCTATACTTCTGAATGTAGCACCACATACTGACACACAGTTCATCAAAAGGGACTTTGCATTCAATGCCAATGCTCCAATAGTGGTATCGATTTTTATTCCAGTGGGGCAGGCCTGAAAGAAGGGTCAGCAATCCGTAAGTGGCCAACATTCAACGGACTCATTATCTGGAAAAATGGGCAAATCATCAACATGAAGTGAGCAAACAGAGCTCTGTGCAGGTTAGTGCACTGGCAAATTGGAGCTGTGAAGGTATTTCTGATGTGCACCAGTGCAGGTATGAAGAAAGCAGCCCTGGACTAGCTACTATGTGTACATCTAAAGCATTTTCATTTGACTTTGCCAGTTTTGATCTCCTAGCTATTACACTACATGTATTGAACTTCGCCTCATCAATAATTGGTCCATCCTCCTTTCATTTAAATTCCTCTTCCTCTCCTTCTTAATTGACCAAAAAGCCTTCCGTTGCAAATTCAAATATTTTGAATACAACACGGTCTCATACAATTACGAACTTTTCTCAGCACTTCAGAATATTTTGGGACATCCATAAATAACTTATGTGGCCATGATCTGTCATTTACCCAATTTTAAAGGAACATGTTGACACTGAGAGATGACCATGCCCATGATGTCAATCCCCATGCATGTCATATCGGCTCCAACCCGGCACAGTTCAAACAACCGATTCTCTGAACTGCTGCAGGGAAATTGTTCGGAAATGAGAACATATTGGATCGTGGTGATGCCCAATGTACCGTGCCCTTGTGCCAACCCTCCAGTGATAAAAGCCTCCCCTTTATTGCACTGTTTGGTTGGAATGTCTGGTCTGTGAAACATCCTGTGGATTCCTGCCAAGTGGCAGGGAGTCAGGATGACTGTAGGAACAGGTATGTTCACAATGTTCAACTGGTTGGGTCGGTCAAAATGTCATGACATTACATCACTGGCTATTTCATCACAGGATTGAGCCAAGTGAAAAAAGGGGAAAACAATGACCCACTGAGCACTAACCCTTCCTAATGTTAACTCTCACAGTTCTGTTGTGTACCCTAAGACCCACATTTAAAAAAGATCTACTAGTACAAATGCATCAGTAATCCCTGAGGTAAGAACACTTCAGATATCCAGGTGTTCATGACATTCTTGAGAAGGCCTTGATAATTCACTGGTCTTGGGGAATTATGAGAGTCGACATTATATATAACCCAGTTGTGCAGCCAACTGCTGTATTTGTGGCAAGGGTCAATGTTCTTGCAATAAAACACCTTGTCCAGCTCTTTGTTAAAACCATGCAAGTGAGAAATAAATTTTTTTTCAAGCACAGAAAAATATAAGGAGCAGGTCTAGAAATTGGACCCAAATTTTTGACAATACAATGAGCAATGTGACTTGGTGAGCAGTGGATCATAGGTTGCAGAAAGCCAGTGGCACCCCCTGTTTATATAATGTGATGTCACAGAAGCTGTGGATTGCTTATTCCTTGAATAAGACTGCTCCTTAGTACGCATGTTTACCTTAAACCTCTTTTCAAGCTTGTGAAGATCTCGTTGACTCTGTTAGGCCGGGGCACCTTGGGCCGCCGGTGGCTGGGGCTCTTGAAGTTGAAGACCTTGGCTTCTGTCCGCTTGTTCATACCTGCAACTGCATACCACACAAACAAGTCAAACATATTTTCATCCTTCAGTATTGTACATGTATCATTATCTTCAACAATGGAGTTGTCTTTCTGCTAGCATTTGTTTGTTTGTTTGTTGGTTAATGCACATGATGATGTAAAATGTTGTTCATGTATTCAGATTACTTTTTGGCACATACATTTTCCTTGATGGTAAAATTTTGGTGCACAGAAAAAAAATTAGGATGCGCAACATGACAATTCTGAAGCTACATTGTAACTTCAAAATTCTAAACATGCAAGTAATAAAACAAAGTTTACAGTAAGGTCTCTTTATTTCTTGAATGAGAAGAATATGCCGGGCACACTGAAACATGCCAGTAGGTGATTATATTTGTCAAACACACAAGTTGGAGTTCCTGGGCATGAGCTGTACCTGGGCTACCGAAGCTGGACACCCGTTGGGACATGAAGGGGTTCTGCTCATGTTTGAACCCGCCGAATGAGTGGCTCCGCTGGACGGGGTTCCCATTCTGGCCATGGTTGTTGGTCACGCGCTCCGTCAGGGACATCTTTAACTGCGTCGTCTAACTACCCTGCACAAACAACAGGAATAAACAAATTGATTAGCATTCTCAGAAATAATGAAACATAATTTCATCAGGTCAGCAAGAGCTACATATAAGAACATTCTTCATTCAACAACAGTAAGCTTTAAGTTTAACAATTCTTCAACATATTGATTTGTTTGAACAGCACAACGAGACAAAGAAAAAAAATTGGTACCCTAATCAAGTAATAAAGATCACAAGTCATTTTCTATGAAAATTATGCCAGGAAATTTGTGTGGTGGTCTTATATATGTGTATTATGTATTTACATGTATACCACGCACCTGGCAACATTTTGTAATAGTTGATATTGTGTTATTATCATGATTCCAATTACACACAATGCCAAAAACTGTATCACAAATGATTTGTATTCCCTTCTTGTGCAAAGACATGTACACACAAGTATTATATAATGAAAATCAAAAGAAATTTCCATCAAAGTGAGTCTGGCATGGTTTTTTATGCCAGGCCCCGGGGAAGATGGGAGACAGATTAATCAGACTTCATGACCGCCAGAAGTCGTAAAGGTGGGCCAGCTTGGCTCATATTTGTCTTATTGCAATAATCCTGATGACCTACACAATGCCATGTCTTTCTTTTATGAGCACTGAAGTCATTACTGTGACTTACATTGTGATAAAACTAAAAAGAAACAAGAAGCCATAGGCGACAATTCTCCGTGAAGTATTATATATTGCAACAAAAAGAAGTAGCCATTGGCGACAATTCTCTGTGAAGAAAATAAATTGAACAAAGAAAAATTGTTTAAACGCGCGTTGGCTCAGTCATCTTAAGTCGCAACAACCAATCAGAGATGCGAAATGCCGACACGTGACGCGGGATTTGGGGAAGGGCGCGCGATGCCCGAAATATTTTTGCGTCAATATTCAGCGCCGTGTTTCAAGAGATTAATACCGAGAAACAAATTCTTTTCTTGTTTTGAACGCATAAACATGCATTTACGCTAATCTAGTATGATTCAGGGTTACTTTTTTTTACCTGCCATGGCCAGATTATCTAAAGATGTGTGTATTGTGTGTACAATCTACAGAAAGAGAAATGTACATCAGGTCCGATCATCCGATTTTCACGTTTCGGTTTTTTGGACTCGGTTCATGAACGTATTTTGGTTTGGCTCCTGGAATGTGCGAAAAAAATGACTCCCGGGACTGTCTACAGGGAACACTCGC